CAGCCAAATGTTGGAAATGTCATCAGATACCAGGTTCATATTACCATATGTGGTGGACATGTTTAGAAGCTAAAAACTATTGGAATAAAATTAAGATATGGCTGGAAGGAATGATACAGAAACATATTGATTTTAAACCAGAGCTGTTCCTACTGGGTATCCTCCCTGAAAAAAATAGTAAAGAAAATATTTAGTTGATTATACATGTAATAACAGCTGCAAGGATTGTTTATGCACAAAATTGGAAAGCAGAGAAAATACCTTTGGAAGGAGATGTAATTAAAAAAAATTAGACTGTGCAGAAATGAATAGATTGACTTTGATGATTAAAGAGAAGAGTCAGAATACTTTAAGATACGGAATCAATTTTACCATTGGTTAGAAAAGAGATACAAATAACTAAATTAATAGTTATGTAAAAAAAAGTGCTACGATTAGAATATTGTGTTAGTGATGAACTGGTGTAATGGACTGGGCAGTAGAAACAAGAAGACAGAAGAAACAACAAAAATAATTTTTGGAGACCACACCTAGATGTCACATGGAAGGAATGACTGATGTATTAAACGTTTGTTTGTCTAAAAAATAAAAAAAACTTAAAAAAAAGAAGAAGTTGTGAGTGCTCCATCACTGGAGCTTTTCAAGAAGAGATTGGACAGTGATTTGTCTGAAATGGGATAGGATCTCCTGCTTGGGCAGAGAATTGGAATAGAAGACGTCCAAGGTCCCTTCCAACTGTTATTCTGCACAAAACTAATTCAGTGACAGCTGTACTATGCTACATTTAGCAACGTAGTATATTACAGTACTATTAGTACTGGTAGAAGCAGTATAATGGTATTATAGCAATATTATGTTATTGTGACCTTGTACCCTAGTGTTTGGGCCAAGAGATCTCAAGGAGCACCCAACATGGGGCTTTGTTATCCATGAAATTGTTATCCACCAATGTTAACATATGGCATTTTTATACTTAATGATTTAATAACAGATATATTCATGTGGAGCATATGGTTCTTACATGTTTTCTTCATTAAGTCTCTGGAGAAGGGTCTTACATCTTGAAAATACTTTGAGATCCAGCACCTATTCCCAATGCAGTCCTTTGCAGCAGATTCATGAGGGAAGGCGGAGGGTAGGAGCATTTTAAAAAGTCAAGATGGCTGCAATAGCAGTCAAAACTCCACCCATTAGTGCAGTCTTTCTCAAACTTAGCAACTGTAAGATGTGTGGACTTCAACTCCCACTGCTGAATTCTGGGAGTTAAAAGTCCACACATTTTATAGTTGCCCAGGTAGAGAAATACTGCATTAGTTCATTTTATTTAATAATTGTATCACGCTTCACTTACACACCCTGCCCATCAACACAAGAGAGAGAAATGATTGAACATGTGAGCCTAATAATAAATGGGGGCCTAACGAAGTGGGAATCTGGTAGGCTAAGTTTGTTTGTAAAATATCTGGAATTCACAGTGAGAGACACCAAAGGCATCTTTAAGTAGCTGTCCATTAGCATCTTTCATATAAGCTGAACTGCATCTTCTACTGCTTGTATCATTTGAATTCAACTGGAATTATTTTCAAGTAAACATGTTTTGGACTGCAGGATTATTTTGAAACCAGTCATTTTCAGCAGTGCTTATGATCATTATAGGATTCCTTATCATTATAAGGCAATATAAACCAAACTATTTGTATCAGCAAAGTAACAAAAATCCAAATGCTGAATAGCTGCATTTAAATGACTCATTTTGTAGTTACGACTTGCAGGCTGCTTTTACGTGGCACACTAATGTATGATATGGATTGTTGAGTTTGGCTTCATATGTTGCATGAAACTAGCCTTGTAGATTTAAACCATGGATATAATTCAGCAGGTAGAAGTCCAGATGGCTGGGATTTATTCACTGAATCATGGCTTAAATTTGTGAATATAGCTTCAATATGTGCTTCCGTGCGCAATTACCAAATGCTGTATTGGTGATAGTTGAGAGAGTTAAAAGAAACAGGTATGAGAAGATTCCAGTTCATTTTTCAACTGATAGTATCACACTTAGCCGTCAAGAGGTATGGCCTACAGTACTTTTAGGTACAAACCAGACCATTATGGTTGATTCAAAAAATCATGTATAACGCAGAAGTTGTGTTTTATGTAAATGTAGCCATTGATGTGTTCACACACTGCATGCAATTTAATTGTGGCATAATAAAAAAGAATTCTGGTTTAGTCTTAGCTAAATCATGGTTTATAAGCCACAGTGACTGAACTCACACAACACGCTAAATCAAAAACTGATGAACTTCATTATCACTTCATATGATGTAGGAATTCAATCCCTGGCAGGGTTTAAGCAAAGACACAATCCCTACAACCTCTTTATTTGCAATAACCATCTCATGTAATTGCTTTGACTCAGGATGATTGATTATATTATACATTAACAAAACCAACAACAATACTATAATACTTCATAAAAAAGGCTATAAGATCAGTTATATCCGTGCGGATCTGGATGGGGAGAAACAAGCTCAGACTCAACCCCTCCAAGACCTGTGGCTTCCGGCGTCCCGGTATAGTCAGCTAGTACCATCACTGACAATAGGGGATGAGATCTTGCTCCCCACAGAGAGGGCCCGCAATTGGATGTCCTCCTGGATTCACGGTTATCTTTAGAAGATCATTTGATGGCCGTGGCCAGGGGTGCCTTTTATCAGGTTCGCCTGATCCGCCAGTTGCGTCCCTTTCTGGATTGGGACGCCTTGCGCACGGTCACTCATGCCCTAGTTACCTCCCGTATGGACTACTGTAATGCTCTCTACATGGGGCTCCCCTTGAAAAGCACCCGGAGGCTCCAACCGGTCCAGAACGTAGCCGCGCGGGTGATTATGGGCACAGCTCGTTACGCCATGTAACACCTCTCCTACGCGAGCTGCACTGGCTCCCGGTGGTCTTTCGGGTGCGATTCAAGGTGTTAGTTATCACCTTTAAAGCGCTCCATGGCTTAGGACCTGGGTACCTACGAGACCGTCTTTTGCCACCAATAGCCTCCCACCGACCAGTTCGTTCTCACAGGGAGGGACTACTCAGGGTACCGTCAGTCAAATTATGTCAACTGGCGACTCCCAGGGGGAGGGCCTTCTCTGTGGGGGCTCCAACTCTTTGGAATGAACTGCCCCCGGACATACGGAATATCCCTGATCTCCGTGCTTTCCGCCGTGCCCTCAAGACCCTGATGTTCCAACAGACGGGGCTAAACATACGAACATGTGAATGATTTTTTAAATGTTATCTAATTCTGGGTTTTATTTGATTGACCAAACTAAGTAATAATTTTAATTAGCAATTTTATGATGTTTGTGTGTCTATATTTTTCTTGACTGTACACTGCCTCGAGTCCTACGGGCGAAAGGTGGTATAGAAATATAATAAATAAATAAATAAATAAATAATAAAAATATTTAGACAATACATTTTGTATCTCTTTAATGCCACCTAATTGCCTTGACTTTTTTGCAGCCCAACTCCCATAGCCCTACCAAATACTTAAATATTACTAGTTAACCAAAACTTCAGCAATTTATTTTCAAGAGGGACTATAATATTGACTATTGTACATAGCCTAGTGTCACTTCTCATGAGATGAGCAGCTATATAAATTAAAGAAATAAAAATACTTGTCTAGCTTTCAAGGTTATTAAAATAAGTGAGCCAAAACAAGTATTTTATATTTGAGCAATGTGCTCCACAATTTAGTGAGAAGTAAGGTTTGCACATTCAAATTAGAGATATCTCCCTGAACCAGGATAAATTATTTCTGCCCCAACATACCCTAAAAACCATGATTTACTTACAGAACCTTGTCAGTACAACTTAAATCAAGTTGAGATACAAGTACCACTATTGTAATCTTAATTGGGCATGCTCTTTTCTTACAGACCATAATGTGTTTTCTTATTTTCTGATAGCACAATCCTATCCACTTCTCCTGAGAAATATTCAACTGAGTTAAAGAGAGTTTACTTCTGAGCGAATGGTAATGAATTTGCATCGAATGTTATGATTTTACTTTTGATAGATTAACTGCTTTGAGAATATATTTGAAAAGGCAGGGTGAACAACCCATCATTAAAAGCCCAACTTATTTCCCCAAAGGTTCCCCCAACTCTCCAAGCTGATTTGATCCTCTTTGTCTACATTCCAACGTCCAGCTGAGGGTGATTTGGATTTGCACTTCATGCTAAATTATTTTTAGGATGTTAACTAAACATGGGAAAATAGGGAAGTATGCAGGTTAATGACAATTTATTTCATTTTATTAAATTTTAAAACCGACCATCTCCCTCATACAATGTCATAACATTGTATGAGGGAGATGGTCGGTTTTAAAATTTAAAAGAAGGAACATTTCTTAAAATAAACTGAATGGGTGTGCATAAGAGCAATCTTCTGCCCGCTTTGTTTACACGGGAGTGATTTCAGGAGAAACACGCCTAACCAACATTGTAGGAAGGGGTTTCTCCAAGAATTGCACGTAAAAAAAAAAAGAGAAAAAAGAACCGAGGCGGGAATGAATGGGCGCTGCATAAATGTGGACCGAATTACAAACCCGAGTGACCAGAACGCCAAAGTGGTTTGCTTACAGGGAGAGAATGAATGATGATCAAATCACAAAAACGAATCTATCCAAATGATCGGGCTGGCTGGGTGGGAAAGTACTCTACGAAAACCAGGCTGGAATAGACGGAACTGCCGAGATCCTCAAGAAATAAAAAAAGACTGAGGCGTAGATGGCCGCGTTGGAAACAAGGACCTTCGCCCATAGAGAAGATACACAGAGGGTCCAGCTCTTCTTTAGCTACGTCTTCTCGGTTCACGCCTTGTAATTATTCCGTTCCTCGCTCCCTTTGTGCGCCATGCGTAACGTTGCTTTAAAGCCAGGGAAGGAAAAGCGCGGCCGTCCCCGGTAGACCGTTGCGCGCGTCGCTTTGAACGCCCAGCACGGAGCGGACCCTCTCTCGTCATTGGGAATCCCTGGTTGGTGCCTCAGCGTGCCAATAAACCGAGCTAATGCTGGCTTAAAACCGCAAGCAACGTTCAAAGCAAAGCAAAGCGACCGGCTCGGCCCGTTTCCACAAACCTATCCGCAGCAAGGCTAACGCCGGCCCGGGGTTTGAGCAGCCTCACCACCACCATCCTCCACCCCTCCCGCCGCCATCTCGGGGCGGAGAGACACCCCCACCCACCCCCAATTCAGCTGCTCCGCCGCCAGCTGGACCTCCGTGCCGCGCCGGATTGGCGAGGAGGCCTCTCCATTAAAGAGGGCCCAGCCAGTCGCCGGCCTCTCCCCCACTTCCCGCTGGGCGTGCGAGCGCTTCTGGCGAGGAGGAGGAGGAGGAGGAAGAGAGGCGCTCGCGGTGGGAGGAGGCTCGGCGGGTGTCAGAGGGGCGGCGAGCGCTTGGCGGCTCCTGAGGCGGGGGGGGGGGTCGAGCCTCCCCGCTCGCAAACGTCTCCGCCTGAGGGCATCGCTGGGCAAGCCGCTTCCCGCGGCTCAGAGGGTCCGCGCTCTCCCCCGCTGCTGCTCGGCCTCCTCGATGCGCGGAGGCAGGAGGCGGCGGCGGCGGCCACGACGCGGCTTTCGTTCGCTGCCTGCGAGCTCCGGGCGGCCAGCAGCCGAGCCAGCAAGCCAGCAATCGGCCGGCTGCTTCTAATCTTGCCTGCCCGCGCCCGGCTCGGCTCGGCTCAGCTCGGCTCGGCTCCTGCGCCCTCGCCCGACCGCGCTGCCCCTCTCGCCTTTCTCCCCGCCTCTCCCGGCCGACGGTGCTCGCGAGTAAACTGTCTTCATGAGCCCCGAGGATGTCCGGAAAGCATTATAAAGGCCCCGAAGTGAGCTGCTGCATCAAGTATTTCATCTTTGGCTTCAACGTCATCTTCTGGGTAAGGCGTTCATTTTATTTTTATTTTATTTGTTTCTGGCCATCATTATGCGTGATGGTGCGGTTTCTGCGGGGAGAAGGTAGGTAGATCCGCGCGGAGGGAGGGAGGGAGGGCGAGAGAGAGAGAGAAACGCGCGTGGCGTGGAGCGCAGCGAATTGAAGGTTGAAGGCGTTTTTTTTGGGGGGGGGGCTTTGGCTATTGGGACAGGGGGGGGGGGGGGGGGCTCGGTTGAGCCTTAGGAAACCCTGGGACAGTTTCACAGAGCCTTTTTTATTCCCTTCCAAATCGTGGATTTGCTTTGCGTGACGTCCCCTCTTCCCCGAGGGCTTTTTGAAAGCGATGCCTAGGTGGTTGCTTCTTATCCTTTTGGCCAGGTAGACCTTGGGGGTTAAAGGTGTGGACCTTCTCCCCCAATTTTCGTTGCTTCCAGTTATTTATTTAAAAAATACGCCTGGTGAAAGCAAGATTCTACTCTATCAAGAAGCCCTAGAAACTGTAGTCTTTTTTTTAGAAAAGGGTTACGCAATGGATAGAGAGATGAGAAAGAGGTTTTGATGGGTTTTGGCTAATTTCATGGAAGAGCCATAGAAAGGCTTACAACTTACCAAGCTACTACATATTTATGTGTGTTTTAGAATAAGGCAAGGTTAGAGGTAGCATTTTTTTTTTTGAATAAACATTTTTGGGGGCAATGGGTATCTATTAACCTGGCACCTTCCAGATATGCTAGAAATGATAATGTTACCATTGATGAACTTACATTGTTGGATAATGAAATGTCTGCAAGCAAAGAACCAGGCTTTTTTTTTGAATAAACATTTTTGGGGCAATGGGTATCTATTAACCTGGCACCTTCCAGATATGCTAGAAATGATAATGTTACCATTGATGAACTTACATTGTTGGATAATGAAATGTCTGCAAGCAAAGAACCAGGCTCGGAGACGACTAAGGACTCCACATGGATAATCTTATTGAACAACTGGAAATTATGTTGGTTGGAAATTGTGAATCTGAGATTTGTAGCTGATCAAAGCCATTGAGAGTTGGACAGCCAGGAGCTTAAACGATTGTTATTGTATCTGGAGAGCTTCAGGTTGGGAAATCAGATGTATGTCAAGCTTGTTATCCTCCTGACTGACCTCCTTTAATTGGCTTCTCTGCTGTATGTAAAATTGGTGCTGTGTGCTGAAATATCACAATACTTTCTCCCTACTTTCTCCCTTGCTTGTTCTTGATTTATGATAGTTTTCACTACCTCTTTACATTTACAAATATAAAAAATAAATTTTTCCATTATTATTCCCTAAATTGGATTTCTAGGAGAACAGACAGTTCATGCTAAAATGTCAGAACTTGGATGTTGGTTGATAGTATACATATCAGACCATTTTTTAGCTTTTAAATTTTGGGTGGGCTGGACTCTTGCGGGGGATGATAAGAATGTATACTAACATATCTGGAGACCCTTAGGTTGGGAATGTGTGCCAAAATTGTAGCAAGTAATGTTGTTTTGTTCAGTGTACTTGGCTTGTAGAAGACCATATTCCATGAAATTTGCTAGTGGCTGGTGCGTTACATAAAGGACATAGATTTTGCATTAAGTAATCATACATAGTGAAGGTGCACAGAATTGCATCTGAGTGATTGTGAAAGCAATCTGGACAAAGTCTTCCATTGCTGTATGGGGAAATTCATTAAAAGCCATTCCCCTCTGTTATTACATATTGAAATGAAGGAAGTGCCAAGTTTTGATTAGTTTTGGCATTCTGGTCAAAAGTTAATGGAAACGTGGCCAGTGGCCTAAGACAAGAGAAAGGTGTTAATGTTGTTATTCAATTTGCCCATTGAGAAAAGGCCTTCAATCATCTAACAATCTGGGCTGTTGTCCAGAAAAGCTTTTGCTTTTGTAAATGTGAATGTTTTGATATTGCAAGATTCTTGCTTGTTAGTGGGTCTCATCCTGGAAAATAAAGCCTAATGCTCCTATAAAGGCAGAGAAATGCATGGTTTTGCTAGAAGCCAAGGACTCTTGTCTTGTGAAAACCAAAGATTTCTACAAGTCTAAACGTCTTCAAAGCTGTTTACATCAGCTTTGAAGGACACCTAGCTATGCTAGCAACCCTGCATTAAATTTGTATTCTGATATGACTATTTATAAATGTCCTAGATTGAGTCTGAAATTATTTTTAAAGATTGTAGCCTTGTAAAATGCATGTATCTCTGCAATCCATTCTGAAGAAAGTGGTGAATTTAGAAGAAGCCCTAGACCATTCTGAGAAAATACTGTTGAATTTTGATTAGCACAAAAGCAGCCACATAGATGGATTTTTCTCCATGACAATCCTGTCCTTAACCTAGGCTCTGCGCTGGCCTGAACTTCGAAGGTTGATCATGACTATCACACATTCAGCATTATTGCAAGGTGAAATAGTCACTGAATAAATGGTCATTAAACAAGGATCATCTGTACTTCAAAATCTTATACCTGTATTCCACTAATACTGAACATCAGGACTGTCAAACTCAAGGCCTGCGAGGTGCTTAGATCTGGCCTGCGGGGCCACCCTAGAAACAGCGGACTGGCCCGTGGTGCCTCTGCCAGCAAAAATGGAGCTCAGGAGGGCCTCCCTCAGTGCGCGGCTCTCCCAAGCTCCGTTTTTGCTGGCAGAGCCCTCAGGCCACCACAGGCGCCCCCGACATGAGTGACCTCGAGCTGGCCATGCGCCCCCTGCCCCCCCTCGAGGTAAACACAAGCCTGATGCAGCCTCAATGAAATCAAGTTTGACATCCCTGCCATACATGATCAACAAGTATCATCCAAGAGCCAGTTCAGTGTAGTGTTTAAGGCATCAGTCTAAAAACTGGGAGACTGGCTATTTATAGTTCCTAATCTGCCGAGACTTTACTGATAGCCTGCAAAATCACTTCCTGATTGGCTTAGCTGCTGTGATGTCAAGGAATAGATCAGAATGTAAATTACAAAGTTATTATATCAACATAGTTTCATCTGCATTCTGCAAGCCTGTTCAAACGCACAGTACATTTTATATGCAAATTTTATTTGCTTTTAACCTGAGGCTAGTGTAAATATTTAGATTTACTTTTTCATGTATCATTTGCTTCAGCATTACTAGCATGTAAAGATATAAATCTGACTCTGTAACTTATTAGTTAGAGACAGGTCATCATGAATCTTTCCATGACTGTGGCTTGAGCTGTCTTCCTGCATGTTGGCTTGTTTGGAAAGTCCTAGGATGATTATATCTGTAGGGGCAATGACACATTTGAATAGGTACTTAATTTAATCCTAAACTGAAATGCTTGTGTAGACTTCACAAGTTGGAACATGCTATGCTTGTATTAATAATACTCCCTTTAAAACCTTAAAATAAATGTATTAGTCAGAGGATTGCATTCATGTCAACTTACTTGCCCCCATGCTGAAAACATGATTAGAGGTTTTATTTGCATGTCCAACTACTAGGAAAATTAGACTAGTGTGTACAAGGAATAAATCTTGCGATTAGAAGCCCTGCCTATAAGCAGGGAAGGGTTTTACTTTGGCAGCAGTACCAGGTGACACATCCATGGTATGTGGATTGAATCACAATTGCATGTTCTAGTTTACCTCTTTTCTAGTGATTGAAGTCACTAGAAAATTAAACTGAAGTTTAATTTTCTTTGTAAGTGCATAATATATTTATCTAAGAATTGATGTCTTTGCATTTTATTTTAGTACATTATGTTTAAAATTTGCTTAGGGAGAAGAAGCTTGCATTTATAATGGAGAAGATCAAGCACAGATCTGCTTGGGAAAGGGAGAAATGGCAGTAATTGCCATTTCCCATGTCAGTCAAATGCTGACTGATGAAAAACAGGCATAGCTAGTCCTTGAGTTATAACCACAATTGGGACCAGAATTTCTTTTGCTAAGCAGGGTGATGGTTAAGTGAGTCACATCCAACTTTATGACCTTTTTTTTTTGCCATAGTTAAGTGAATCATGTGGGTGATAGGTAAACCCTGCTTCTCCCATCAACTTTGCTTGTTGAAACTGGCTGGGAAGGTTGCACATGGTGACCATGTGACTTTGGGATACTGAAACTGTTGTAGAACATGCCAGTTGCCAAGTGACAAATTTTGATCACCTGACCATGGGGGAAACTTCGATAGTCGTATGTCTGAGGATTATTCATAAGTAATTTTTTTAAAGCACTGTTGTAACTTTACAACCAACTTGAATGGTTGTAAGCCAAGGAGTATCTGTAGGATATTAGCTTAAGAGATCCTGCAGAAGGTTAGAATTTTTCTTAACAGGTCACTGCAGAAGACTTGAGCTTCTGTACCAGCCAAATCAGAAGCTAATGTGGGGGTTTTTTTCTGCCTTCTCTAGCAAAACACAACATTGCCTTAGAGAAACTAATTGGGAAAAATCCCTAATGCTTTTTTGTAGACCGATTAATGTTAGTACTTGCTTACATTGAAATATATTTTAATAGAACAGTTTAGAATGATAATTACATTTGATTAGGGAAGCTGCAGTAGACAGTGGTAATGAGTTGCTCACCTGCGTTCTAGATTTCAGCTGAATTGTAGGTAAACCATGAAATAATAATAAGGAATACAGGATAACAGATTTGGAAGGGACCTTAGAGGTCTTCTAATCCAACCCTGTGCCCAAGCAGGAGACATGGGCCTATACCATTTCAGACAAATCGCTGTCCAATTTCTTCTTAAAAACTTCTACTGATGGATCATTCACAACTTCTGGAGGCAAGTCATTCCACTGATTAGTTGTTCTAACTGTCAGAAAATTTATCCTTCTAGTTGGATCTCTCTCTGATAAATTTCCATCCTTTATATCTAGCCTTCCCCTCAGGTGCTTTGGAGAATAGGTTGTCTCCCCTTCTGTGACAAATAACATGGTTACAGGGTTTTTGGTGAGCTTTCAGGATTTGATGAAAGACATAGCACAAAACACTTCTTGAATATATATTT